TTCTCGATTTGACCTAAAGCCCACAACGAACGAGCGAACCCGAATATTGAGATGTATGCGGATTCGACTGGGGTAAACCCTAAAGGGATGAGAACTCGACTTCTATAAATGGAAGGGGGAGCCAAACCCTAGAGGTAAGCAAAAACACCCTACTCTCTACACTCTAACTCCATTATCCATCAACTCTCCTTGCTAACTTAGGCATCGGAGCTCATGTGACTGGAGTTACACCGATTTAGGTTTAATTGGTTTTGCAGGTCCTCTGTTCCCTGATTATCAAGTTTGGTGCGAACCTGGGAAGGAACCGGGAGAGCATAATTCACGCATCAACAATTGGTGCCGTATGTGGGGAACAATTCAGATCCAAAAGTCGAGACGATCAACAAGTCAACTAAGAACGTTTGGACCCAGAAGGGATGATTCAGATCAAAAAGTCGAGACGATCGACAAGTCGACCGAGAACTGCTCGAACCCAAGAAGGGACGATTCAGATCCAAAAGTCGAGACGATCAACAAGTTGACGGAGAACTGCTCGAATACCGAGGACTGCTCGGATCCGAGAAGCGACAATTCAGGTCCAGAAGTCGAGACGATCAACAAGTCGACCGAGAGTTGCTCAAGATCCGAGAAGGTCTAGGGTGAAGCGAATCGACAAAATCCAGGAGAGATCCTGAGAAAAACAAATCGACATGAATTCTAGAAATAAACCATAACATGCTGGCAACGAACGTCATTCGACTAGGAGGCTGCCTTTACCCGAGACAGGGTGAAATAGGTCGACAATTTCCCGAGCAGGCCCTAGGTGATACAAGGCGACAGATTCCAAGGCAGAAAGAGCAACAAACAGAAATTCCTGAGCAGCAGGAGAACAAGTGGGCTACTTTAGAAAAGAAGATGGCAATAGTGAACCGAAACATGTCTCTCATTCTTGAGAGACTTGAGCAACAAGAGGAGAGCACCAACATTGGTACGAGATCCACGAAAGGGTAAAGCTCCCACGAGTGGAGACGCGAAGGAGTCGACGAACAGCCCATTGGCACGGAGTAAACTGGTAAAGGGAAGGAACGACAAACCACGAAATGATACTTACCGTCGACGGGAAACCCGACTAGGCCTCAAGAACACCACGCTACATAAAGAAAAATCGCTTAGCCGACATGAGCATACAGAAAGGCTGTAAAAAACGAAAAGACAGAAGATACAATCTTGAGGAGATTATAGAGCAAACAGATTCCCCATTCGTGGAAGAAATAATGAGAGAAAAGATCACTCCAAAGTTCAAACTCCCTACTATAAATGCTTCGGCCAATTTTTTGAAGGAGAAGATTGATTTTCTTCTTAATTGTCGAAACCAGATATGAGCAGTGCCCGTTAACGTGAAAGAGAACATTCTGCACTTGATTGCTTCTGTCATCACATAGAGATCCATCCATTTGTCACGCAATTCGTTGGATGGCAGAATAGGAGTCAACCTATGACTTATCTCCTGACCATAAAGCAAGAATCAACTGAGAGTCTCAGAGAATATGTGGCTTGCTTCAACGAGGAAAGACTACTAGTCAAAGATCTTACCGACAAAATATCACTACTCGCTTTCTTATCTGGCATAAGAGATAAAGAGCTGTCATTCTCTTTTAGAAAGAGAGCTCCAACAACCTTCTCAGAAGCATTGACTCGAGCTCAAAACAATATGAGCGCAGAAGAACTACTCCATTCAAAACAGAGTCTTGACAAAACTCAAGACCGGTTGTATCAACGAGACATTTTGGAGAAATTTACTCCAACGACAGACTCACCCGAGCAAGAATCAGGAGAGAGCAGTGAGTCTTGCACGGATGCTACTACGCCATCTCAAGATGATGCGTGACGGCCTGATCACACAGGACAATATTTCTTTCCTTTTTGCCTAGTTAATAGTTTAGGCTTAATTTTTTGGCAATTGCTTATATCATTTACTTCGTTTCAAATCACGTTTGCCCCTACATTTCAGAAAATATTTACTTGCTTTTGGTTCTAGCATGTGATATTTGATTAATTCTTTACTACTTGAGCATTTATCTTTATTCTACATGAAAACTCCTCAAGTGGGAGCATGGGTAGATTAATCAATAGTTGGTCAAAGAACTCAAACATGGATAGACATAAAAGCAGGCTGATAAGCTAAAAACCAATCAAAAAATTTCCATCAATTTCCATAGTTTCCGTGATTTTTCTTCAAATATCCGTCGACATCGATATTTCTGTTGACATCAACATTTCCATAAAATCGGGACCTCGACATTTTTATCGACATCGACCTTTCGAACCTTGCTTTTATCTCACTTCATCCTTTTTAATATATATATATATATATTAAATACTAATAAATATATAAGAAAAAATGTACCTTTCGAAGTTATATTTTAGATAAAATATTTGTTATTTTCAATCATTTTCATTAAGATGTGTAATAAATTGTTATTAAGATAGTTAATAAATTGTTATTTATGTAGGAACGAAAAGACCACTAATTTTATCCGGAAAAAATTAAATCGGAGGATGAAGATCGAAGAGAAGGGGATTACACTTACATTCCCTTTTCTCATCCCTAAAATAAAATTATTTTACCTGCAGAGTAGATATTTGAATCTACAACTTTTCGTTAAATATATTTTCAGTTAGTCTTAAGATCATCGTCCATTATATATAGATACATATTTTGTAGTTCAACATAATGAAAATTTGAACCTCTAACTCTTAGTTAAGATAGATATATGTCTTAATCAGGTAATATGTCCAAGTTGGTAAATTATTTTATACTAACTTGTGAAGTTCAAACGGCGTCCATTGAATTTTGAATGATTGGTGTGGGTGTTTAAGATGTCTTAACCTATAAAATTTATATATTTTTATGTCATTTTACCTTTATATTGTTCATGTTTGACGATATTCTTCGTTAGAGATTAAATTGAAATTTGTAACATAAAAGACAAAATTGAAAGTCAAACAAATTATAGCTTTTTGTTTTCTATAAAACATGGTATATGACTTCTTTTTAAATATAAAAAAAAAAACATGGTATGACTTCAACATTTAAAACTTAGAAAGAAATATAAATTACCAAGACAAATAATCATCTAAGAAAATTATTTTTTTATACAAAACAGTACTTTCATTGAGAAAAATGAAACGGATACAAAAAATACACCAAAATGCCTAAAAAGGGCATACAAAAAGAACAACCCGAGGAAGTCCCCTAAAGAAAAGGGCTCTAGAATAAGGCCAAGCGAATAATTACAAAAGAGATGAGAAACCGAGCCCCGTAGCAAAGTGTTAAATCTAACAATGTCCCAAACATAATCCACAGACTTTTCCACCCCCTAAACACTCGATGATTCCTCTCCAGCCAAATACCCCATAACATAGCTAGAAAGCAAGCCTGCCACAAAAAATGACCATGATCCCGAAAAGAGGAGATAAAAGCACCTCCTCCATCATCGCCCAACAATTCCTGGCACGGACCCAGGAAATCCAAAAGCACAAAAAGAAACGATGCCAAAGATCCTGAGCAAATTGCCAAGTCCACAGCAAATGATCAAGGTTCTCCGAGGCACTCTTACAGAGAACACACCACACTGCAGACCCAGGCAAAAACTCGACATCCACTGGATACGATCCAAGGTATTAACTTTCCCAAGAATAACCTACCATCCGGAGAACTTGATCTTCTTTGGAACTTTAATCTTCCATAGATAGGTGAACCAAGGGGTCGAGGGAGAAGAAGAAGACAGGGAGCTCAAAATTTGATAATAAGAACTACAAGAAAAACCTTTGGACGGACTGTTGGTCCAAATCCTCACATCCTCCCTCCCAAGGAACACACAGAAAACTGAGACACCAAAGAAAGCAAAGTGGATACCTCTAAGGTATCCCGATTCGTTAGGGCACGAGAAAGGCCCAAAGAAACAAAAGGACCCTCACCTTGGGAATTCAAAACCTCAGCCACCGAATCGTGTTTCATATCGAAAAGATGGTATAACTGAATCATCTAAGAAAATAATAAATAAAACTATTACCATCATAACATGACAATAAAGACATATAAAGACATATAATAGGACTATTCAAATACCTGAACAACTCAATCCAACCCGTAAAGATTAGATTGGGTAGGTGAATTGTCAGTTCGGGTTGGTCCACAAAATAACCCTAAACCGACCCAACCCGTGTACATCCCTAATATATAGATCATTCTTAATCCAAAAAGGCTGCAAGCCAAATTGAAGGGTTGATGTTAACTCTTTGCTTCATAAATTTAATCAGAACCGTCCAAAAAGCAAAATACAAGCAATTCTAGCAAATAATGTAAAGATTATTATGGATATCAAACAAAAAATAATATATCAGTCATCCAAAGACAATCCGGACACTAAATTTAAAATGGATCATCAAACTATAAAGCACCTGTATCAAATTAATAAATTTAAGTAAATTTGATCTTTTCAATATATTCTCTCTCAACATGATCAGAACAAACATTCAAAGTATTCACTCAATGAAATACCCAATAAGATTGATCCAATACTATGGAAATTAGCTTATAGTTTCACATAATATAACAGTGGGAAAAAAGTGGAAGAGTATTCAAGTTTTCAATCCAAGAACAATGACAACAGAAGATGGAATTAGAATACCTATCTGGCCTTTCACAAGAGATCAGAACGAAAAACTGACAAGCCTCGAGAAGCCGTTCTGGAGTTCAAACTGGGACGCTCAAATTTATGCAAATTTTCAAACTAAATGCAGAGAAATTGCAGAAGAACTCCAGTTGAAGAACAAGCTCTTTTCAAATATCCAATCTTAAAAATCTACAATCCCTGCAAACTCTTTAAACTCATAAACTTCATCCCCAAAAGGATGTTTATAACTTTATATCAGTAAGAAAAGAAATTGGAACCTCTTTACATATGATGGTCGATGTATATCGCATTGAACATAAAATTTCTGAAGCTAGCATTACATTTCCTCGATACTGACATCATAACTCTGCCTCATTTTACAAAACTTGATAGCCAAATCAACAACCTATCAAAATCGTTTTAATTGCGCTAGTTGGCTGCAAGATTGAATAGTTCATGCTGAAGAACATCATCTGTAGTACGACGCCATGATGTAAAGCATTAGAGCTGATGTACTGGTGATCAATAGTTCCTGTGAATACATAAAACGATAAATCGCATGCACAATGTACCGTGCATCTATCTCGGCACTGTGTGATATTTTAACTTTTAAGTCATTCGTTCACGCATGGCAAAAGAAGTAAAAGATTTTAATGAAACAGAGCATTACAGGTATAGGGCAACTATTTGACAATGCATGAAACAGAGCAAGTAGGTCAAGGTCACTAATTTCTCTCATGGAAGATAGTTATAGTGGAGGCGAGATCAATTATAAAGTACCACAAGAGCGGTCCATTTCTGAAAATCATTTTGGATTTTTCCGAAATCACTTACACTGTGTACAATAGCCCAACCCAACAGCAGGCCTATTTTTGGCTAGAAAACAAGTATATGCAAAACAACTTATCATGTACATTGGAATTAACAAAAAAATGCAAGTACCTGGTTGTTGTAAAGAAAAGCTGGAATATAGCTGCCCACGAACTCGATGAAATTCAAAATACCAGTATATGCCTGCAATAAATTATCCAAAATAATTAGGTTACAAGGGAAGGAAACTGGGGAGGAAAAAAAGTATACCAAAAAAATTGAAGAAAATTAGATTTTGAAGATCATGCATCTTGCTTGCATCTAATATAGAGGGACAAACAACCAGAATAAAACCCTAAGCTCCTATTTGCTCTATTAAAATATCCACAAGACTGACATTCGGATCACTATATTTGTTACATGCAATGCATAGAGGCCCAAATATTGAGTAGGGAAAAGATGAAATACCAAAGAGGAAACAGCAATACATCCAAACACTAGAGCAAGAGATCGAAGCAACCGCTTTCCCATTCGTATTCCTCGTCCTGAATCCTCACCATCTTCCTGCAGTCCATATCAAATATCATATATGGGTATGCTGTGTGCACACAAATCGGAACAGTTATTACAACATTAGGATGATACTCCGTATTCTCCGGAAAAATGAAAAGAAAAAAGGATCGTTTCTCAACATACTGTAAATGATGGCGATACAGGAGGTTCAAAAGCTTTCAGCTTTTCAAAAATCCGATAAACAAAAGCAAATGCCAAGAACTGTAGAGGTTTATATTCAGCACTGCGCTTGATAAGGACCCAAGCAGTCTGCAGAAAGCAATAAAAAGAATGATTTAATTTTCATCAATCACAAATGTATCATCTTCAATCTCCATTGGCTCCCCTAAAAAATTAAAAAGAAAAAACTTGTCATGTCAATCAGATATACGAGGAACAAAAAGAAGAAATCATGTGAAACACAACCTCAACGAGATGATAAAGAAAGGCAAAAATGAAACTGGATTTTTCCTGGTTCAACAATTACACTAAAGCAAACTTGTCTCTTGTGTCATAACCTTGAAGCCAGAATAACGTGAAAAGAGATGTTTACCTTCAAAAAGCAACATTTTTATTAACGTAGAAAGAAAAAATATGAGAATGTAAACACATCTTAGTAATCCAATATCAAATCAAGGGAGAAACAAAAGTAACGAAGACTCAGATGATCAACCATCTCTTATTACTTACAAATACAGCAGATATTGCCATATTGATTTGCATATCTTTTGGGCTGGACTTTGAAGACCTGGAAATGCATTCAATTTCAGAAATAAGAGTTTATCCAAAGGAATGAGAAGAGCAATGGGGACATTGTACAAGATATTAGAGAAAAATATGAATCTACGTTAGATAAACAGATGATACATATCAAATAGATGATGTCATTAACTGAAAAAATGAAGCAACTGCTTTATCTTTGGCAGATAATATATATACACATATAAATTATCTGAAAACGTGTTTATGAATAATAAAAATGCATAAATAATGAGATTTTAACCATATCAATATCCATTGACCACAACAAACTTCTATCCAGGGTCAAAGATTAAGGCACATAAATACTTCAACTATCCGACAGTGGAAATCTGGAACATTGTGACAGAATATTAGTTAAATTTCAACTCAAATAGTTGGAGATTATAAGGACCTACCTTCTATATAATATATTAAAAACTGTCAATCTACGGATAAATGCCAGAGCGGCCGTATGTGTATGCAAATGTCAGAAGAGGGGGAAAATCATGAACTCCTAAAGATTTATTAATCTAGATCTATGTAATGGACAAGGTTTAAGAATTAGGGATCAAAAATTTTCTAGAAACTAGAAAGATAATGATGTACTTTCAGTGTAATAATAGGCTGGTTATTAAAAATTTGAGAAAATATAGCCAGAATAATAAGCCATAGCCAGCTTCGACTTCAGAACTTTCATGATATTCATATGCTAATTTTTTTTAAAATAAAAAAATAAAAAATAATAATGAAAACACAAAACCAAACCTTGGCCCCCATGGTACAATTGGCTGATTATCAGCATACTTGATGTCCTTTGAAACCTGCATTTTTCAAGCGACTATCAAGAAGATTTACCACAAATAAGAAAAGGCCATTAATCTCAATAATGAATACAATACAAGCCATAAAAATCTAAAAGTAATGTAAAATTTTCGCTTAGGTTCTGCAGGAACATGAAAATAAGCACTCAAAGTTCAACGATAAGTATAACAGTGTTCTGCTTAATGTCATTGAGAGAGCATCCAAAACAAGCTTGAAAAACAACTTACCTCCCTCTGTGGAAATAGTTTTACAAACTTGGGGGAAACAATGCAAACTACACACTATGAAGACGTGTATGACAAATAATCTACATTAATACAGGGGCGAGACAGGAGAGAACAGAGAAAAAATGGGAGTGGTAACTGCTCACCATCACATTTAGCATGTACATATAATCAAAATATATGTAATTTACATGAACATACAACTTCATGGACCCTAAAATTAAGTAAACAAATATTTCCTTTCATTTTTTAATAATGAACTGACAATCATTTGGCTTTTAAAGGTATTTCTTGAAGCCCAAGATAAAAACAGCATAATAACAGTGAGTGTTGTTTTCGTTGATGTACCTTCACCGAGCCAAAAGTGACACCCTTCTTCCGATTTGTGAATTGTGCCATCATGACTTTGTCATAAGCTTTCTCCAGCTGGCAATATCAAGTTTACTACTATAAGAACCTAGAACTAAAAGTGCTCAAATGCCCATATATTTACTGCAAAACACAGCAACTTCCATATTAAAACACCCACCAACATACAGATGGATGTCGCACCATGCAACCAGGAACTAAATCTTGATATATTATCTGATAACTCACTTATCAAATAAAAACCATCTGAAAGCCAGTGAAGGATAAAATTGGGTAACATCTAAAATTCACATGTCTGTAAGTTTTGAACCCAGAACTACCAAGTGTCTCCACAGTATTTGGTAATTGCTAGTCAAAAATCAAGTACGATATTTTAAAATCCCAGGTTGGTTGCTTGGTTAAATCCAAGGACCTGAACAAACATAAAAATCCCAACTTAGATTTACATTTACCTATTCAAAATAACACAAAACTTTTAATTTTAGCCTGCAATCCAACATACAGTTCACTTTCCTGTTTCCTTAATGTTATCAACCCTTATCAACTTTAACTTATTTCAAACTTGATGACTTGTTGATGGACTTCAAACATTCCACCTAAAGTCATGCCCATGGAAAGACTTTGGTCACCAAAAGAGACAGGGAGAGGGGTGCGGATGACATACTCTGGCTGCAGTTGCTTCATCTCCCATCCTCTCAGCCTCCTTGCGTTTTTTAGTATATGCTGCTTTAATCATGTCAAATCCCTCAATTGGGTTTAC